TAGGGTCCGGGCTCATGGTGTCGATTCCGAGAACTCCTACACCAAGCTCGACGAGGCGTTCCGCAACGGCCTTCTCCACGTACGGGTGCTCGAAATACTTTCCCTCCTTATCGGCCCAGAACCTGTCCCACCCCGTCCTGAACAAAACCATTACGCCCCCTTCAGCTTGGATTCTTGATTCGTACGGACGAAGGTCAGGTAAGCCTATGCGGGAGCGGGCGGATTTGGAGGAAACGTCGATGACGATAGCCGGGCGGACGAAGGTCGAGAGAGGGATGGCGTCAATGGTAGGGGTGTCTGCAAAGCGATGTGAGGGGGCGTCGATGTGGGTGCCTACGTGGGAGGAGAAAGAGAGCTGGTGGACGGAGAAACCAGTATCAGGGATACTGCAGAACTGGCGACAGGCGAACGGCGGATCTCCTGGGTAAACGGGGACGTTGTCGTCCAAGGGGTGTGAGAGGTCGATGAGATTCGAAGATTCCATATTCCGAGAAGGTATGATGATAGTATTAACACCAGCGCCAAACTGCGTAGGAGAAGAACTGGGCGCTCGCGCCAGTCGAAAGACCGTGCGGATGGGCCCGGTAAGATCCGACAGCTCGGGTTCGCCAGCTTGATCGAGCACTGCTGGAGCGAACGAAGGGAGTTTGTTCAAACGTTCATGGTCCATCAATCCGCGTCAGTATGCTCCTGCCCTGAGAAGCGACACCTACTCGTCTGTGACCTCTCACTGCCGTGCGGATACGATATCTTACAGAACAATTCAGGAGTGAGCGATCATGGGGCCCTCTTCTTGGATCAATTTATTACACGTACCAGATGCGCGAGTGCCTGGTAGCCGGGCTTTCCCCTAATCCTCTCATTGACTTGGTGTGCGAACGGCTGGAAGGCTTCTGGCATTTTCAGCATGGCAACAATAACGCAAGAACATTATTACGGCCCCGTAAAAGTCTCCTAACTAGTCGCTTTCCGCGGTTCTTCATTCGATAATACAGACTTTGGCACTTTAGCCTTGACTTTAGCGCTTACCTTAGATGGAGAACTGCCTTAATGGCGCCAACTTCAGCGGCCCAAACACTCGGGAGTGTACCATACGTCCAAGTCCTTTGCTTTGAGTGGAATTGCCCCGGAGGCTTGCCTAGGGACCTTCAGTTTTTTCCGGCCGTACTGGACAAGGGTGGCCCGCGTCCACCCGGCCGTATCCCCGGGCTTTCCCGTCACAACCTAGCTTGGCAATCGGTCCTGACACGTCAGCTGCCTGGGTGGCCCAGAGACTACAATGAACTAATCTACAGGCCATTCGGTAGCAACCTACCGGATGAAAGACCTCTGTCCATCTACCGCCTTCTTCTCCGCCTCCAGCATCATCTGCATGGCACTCACCCATCGTCAATATGACCTATGCTTATGCTTCGATCGCTGTTACGTCGACGACCGCTTGTCACTGATACCTGTTCTCGCAGTTAAGTTAGGACATCTAAGAACGGCCCACAAGGTGATAGCTACACTAAGGCATGCTGCTTGGTCCAGCGCCGGCCACATCACTGTTCCGCGACCCTCAATCTGGCAGCATGACGGACTGCCCATAGGCCAGAGTAAGCGTCGAGTGCAGTATAAAGGACATGGCTAGCGAAGGGTCATTCAGGATGCGAGCTGAGTTTTCGCAGTCTTGTGCCCGCGCCTCGAGGCGTGGTCGACTTCGGAGTCCGCCCGTCTTTAAAATCCCCTAGGGTTGCAGTCAGCCTGCCACTCGAACATCTCACCACTCCCTTCATCAAACTATAGCAAGGCGGGTGCACCCGACCGCCTCTATCTCACCGCTTTACCTCTCCTTTATCCCATCTCATCACTCTGTCCACTCTGTGGCACTCTCCTGTGGACTGATCCTGACGTTTGTTTAACACCTGAAGCTTCGCAAATCGCCGACATGCCTCGTCGCGCCCAACCAGCGTCACTTCCCCCTTCCAATGACTCCATCACAATATCACAGTTTCTCACTCAAATCACAGAAGAGGCCGGTCGTGCTGCCGGACTTATCCTCTTAAAGCGCCCGCCGAAGAGCGACTGTCTCGGATACCTTGTGCGTGTGCATCACCCCCCTCTGTGGTCTCGTTGCTTATATCTCATCCCGCGTTAGAGGGAGTTGGGATCTTGTACCATCACTGAGTTGCAACGCCGAGCAGGCAAAGCGGTGAAACCGCGCGACTGTGCCGCGCCCGGCAATCTCTCCAAACTACACATGGACGAAATCAAGAATATACCGCTACTCACATGCAGTGTCGCAGGCTGCTGTTATATGTATGTGGCTTGCTTTGTCTCGGCGAGCATCGGTCTGACATCCAGCTGCAGCGTTTCGCGAGGAACTAGTGCCTCGCGGCATCTAGTCACGCACGGCGCTGACCTAGACTCAAGTATCGACACGTTTTACGAGGTCCGGCTTGTTAAAGAACTAGTGAAAGACCCACGGGATCTCAAGTTTTTCGAGAAGGAGACCCGTAAGGCGAACGGGAGGAAGAACGCGCCGCTTCCGGCGTTCGAACTGGAGACGACTCGGAGCAATCAGCAGGCCAGCTCGAGCGCTCAAATTCCCGAATACGCGCTTTTCGGCAACTCCCTCGACGACAATGCTCAAGGCACCAACGTTCGAGACACAGACAACCAAACTTTCCCGGCTGTACATGGCGGTGATAGCGGGCAGCCGGACGGTCTTCTTGACAACTATTTTGACTGGTCCGCCGCCGGCAGTGATGACCGTGCCACCGGGTATACCGACGGATGCATGTTTACCGAGTCCTACGCTTCCAATCTGGGCGGCAACCAGGGCCATGGCACGGTATTTTCGCATGAGGTTGCTCAAGTTCCCATGCCCTACGCCCCGCAGCCAGTGCCGCGATACGCCATGGACGGAGTGGAGAACCTCGACATGGGTCAAGCTTTCGATCAGGATTGGTCGTATCGCTCATCTCTTTGGGGCGACGACATCTGCAAAGGTGTCACTCTTTCTCCGCCGAGTTCCGCCGGTGGACTCACCTTTGAGGATTATGGCTTCGGCTCTTTTTCTTCCGCCGGGCCATCCGAGTCCACCCCAATCTCCCCGGCCTTCACAGACGCTCGGCCGTCGTCCTCGGCTAACAGGAGACTCTCGCTTCAGCGCGAAGGAAGTGGTAATCAGCTCCACTGACTCTCACTTCCTCCGTCTTGTTCCTGCACCACCGTGATTCTTCATATGACACAACTACGTTCTCTACCTCTCGCTATGGCCTTGCATGCCTGTCTCTGACACCGGTTGTACCTCATACTGATATCTACTACCAGCTCGTTGACTCCTCGCGCTATCCTTACCTTCCGTCCCTGGTTCCATCCCACCACTCCTTACGTACTCACGTCGTACAATGCGTGCTGTGCTGGTATTTTTTCAGGAATATTGAGTTGCGTCGATTAAAAAAGGGATTGTATAGGACGAACAGCGCTCTCGCGCTTAATCGACGTCTAAGCTTCGTACTCATAGAAACCCTTGCCGTTCTTCTTCCCGTACCACCCTGCATCCACCATTCGCTCGAGCAGCACGGAGGGGCGGTACTTCGAGTCGCCAGTACCCTCGTAGAGCGTCCGTTGGATAGCGAGGCAGGTGTCAAGGCCGATGCTATAGGTTCAATGTTAAACCGCGTGGTTATACAGCGGCCGTGAAGGACTTACAAGTCCGCTGTGAAGTCAGAGTCGTGTGAGTGACTGTCGATGCAGATGTACACCCGAATTTACCAAGCTGCAAGGGACCCATGGGATGTGCCATGCCCAGCTTTAAGGTCGTGTCTATATCATCCCTTGTCGCAATGCCTTTCTCGAGGTGCATGACCGCCTACGAACGATTTCATATTAGCACTTGTCTCCTAGATCATATGAAAACACCGAACCTCGTTTATAAATGGCATCAAAAGAGCGTTCGACACGAACCCAGGGACATCCTTGGACTCTGTGACCGTCTTGCCACACGCGAGCGCGAACGCGCGCGCGCTCTCAAGGGTGTTCGGGGCGGTTTGTAGACCTGGGATGAGTTCGACAAGTTTCTAAGAGAAAATCAGCATCTGTGGCGTCATACTTCCGCACGGAAGCATACCATCACAGGAACCGGGTTGAAGAAGTGAAGGCCTAGCAGAAATCTCGTCCTCAGCTTGATGCCATGCTGTCAGATACTGGGACCGAGCACGAACCAACAACGCGGGCAGCCGTCCGCATACCCTCCTCGCTCGCGGCGGAAAGGCCCTGTGGTACCGTCGCAGCAGCGATCTTCGTAATCGAGATAGAGGAAGTATTGCTAGCAAGGATGGCGTTGGGCCCGATTTCTTGCGGTAGCGTGGAGAAGATGGACTGTTTGATTGCGAAGGACTCCGAGACAGCCTGAACGATCGTGGACGTCTTCGTTACCTGACGTATTTCACAGAAGGTGTGTACATGCCTCGACGACCATATCTACATCTCGTAGACCCTTCAGTCCGACCTCTGGCCCGATTACTATGACACGCTCCCTCGCCTCCGTTGCGTCCGCCTGCGAGATCTTGCCCTTCGATACATCCTTTGCAAGGAGCTTGTCCATCAGGGACAGGCCCTTGTCTATCTGTGTTGCCGAACGATCATGTAGCAGCACAGGCACCTTCGCTCTGAGCGCAGAGACGAAGGCGATGCCAAGGCCTGGTGTGACGCGACGGCGAAGTAAGCATGTTGGCAGAGAAGCAGGACACTAGCGAGACGCGTCGTGCGTGTCGAATAACTGTCGAATACCTACCCATTTGGCCCGCTCCGAGGACGCCTATCCTCCGAAAACCGTGTGCGACAGACATTGAGGATGGTCGGAATGGATGACACGCCGGTATGCAGAGTAAAGTCAACAATCACATGCACTCCAGAAGTCGCCTGGAGCTTGAGTGTGGAACTTGGAGCGGAAGACGGCGCTCAACAGGCGTCCCAAGAAAAAACATCCTAACCATACCACCCCGGTCCTCCCGTTCGGATACGGGGAATCGAACCCCGAGCTGCCGCGGTCTTCATGAGAGGCGGCAATGTTAGCCGTTACACCATATCCGACGACGGCAATTGAAGGTGTTGCACTCTATGCTAATAATATAGAGCCCCATAACCGTATTAATTCTTATTGATCGCACTCGCCTTCAAACCGATGACGTAGTACGGTGCCTCCAACTCCAGATTTCTTGCGCTCCAACTGTGGCATCGACTAATCAACTAGCCAACCGGGACGTATGCCTTCGTTTCAATCCTGCGAAGTGCAGGCCTCCCCTCGCGCTCATGACCTCTACCCTGTCCCCATTAACCCAGGCAGTGACCGGCGCGGTTGGTTCTGCCTCTGCTAACGCGCTCGCTTACCCCCTCGACCTCGTTACAACTCGCTTGCAGACGACTCGATCCCGGAAATTGCAAGGTCTGTCTTTCGCGCTTGGAGGAGCTTGCATCGTTCACTTCCCTTCCGCTCGCTGGCAGGGATACGCGGCGCTCTTGCAGTTCTCCGTTACACCATTAGCAGGCATGGCGTTGATGCGCTCTATGATGGTCTCGCATCCGACACGGCGTCCACGCTGATCTCGAGGCGAGTATCTCTTTTATGCGAGCCGCTGTTCCGCCCAACTTATCGAAATAGCTTCTTATACTTTTATGCGTATTCCTTCCTACGCAACCTTGTCCTACGCCGAGCCGCACGCTTGAACGGCCATTTGAAGAGATCTCCGGTGCTGCCAGTAGGGCAGGAACTAGGGCTGGGTTTCTTTGCTGGTGTCTCTTCAAGACTTGTCACGGCTCCTTTGAGCATTGTGACGGTGCGCCTACAGACGGCACGCGAAGAAAGCGAGGATATACAGGAAGATAACCGGATATTCAAACCGTTGGATGCTATGAAAGCAATATACGCTGAGAACGGCATCCTAGGGTTCTGGAAGGGTAGTTTTTCTATACTTCTGTATACGAAGTGTTCTCTCACCCCACTTAGGACTCGAGGGCATGATCCTGCTATCTTTTAACCCTGCTCTCACCTTCGCATTCCTTCATTTCCTTCGTCGTTTAATGCAATTTCGTCCGAGGAACGCAGCAAAAGCGGCGAAAGTCATACCGCTTGGTCCGCTGGAGTCTTTCATAACAGGAGCACTAGCGAATGCGTTGGGTACGTAGTAGCGATGGTTTACACGAACGCCTCCGCCGACCGTCCTCAGCCGTATCAATACTGTACCCTCTTATTCTTGCCAAAACTCGTCTGCAAGCCGCACGCATGTCGCCCTCTCTGCCTGCTACAGAGAACGATATATCCTCTCCAGAAAGCACTTCCCGTCGTCCGGTGAGTGCCTGTCCCATGGATTGTGACATTAGTCTGATTCAGTGCACCTTGCAGCCAACTATGCTTTCGACGTTGGAAGAGGCATACGCCGGCATAGGTAGCTATCCTAGCGGTCTTTACCAGGGTCTCTCGGCCCAAATCGCTAAGGGCTTCGTTAGCATGGGCGTCACGATCATGGTAAAGGAACGGTAAGCACAGAATACCTTAAATATCTTGTCTCCTGATGTAGTTGTTAGGATCGAACACGCGCTTGTGCGCGCTGTCTGCCAGTGGAAGGATGGAACGTAGCAATTGTACAGCACATAATGGCATTGTTGGGAAATAGACGGTGCTTGTACTACTGTCTTGTTTATTTCTTCTGCTCCCGCCTCTTTCCAGCCTTGCTGCTCTGAGCCTGAGCCCTTTGATCACCATTATTGTCGTTCCCTTCCTTATCATTGATACCCTCCGCACCTCCTGGGGACTTTTGCGCAGTGTCTTTAATATCGCGCCAGCGTACTGTTGAGTATTCTATAACCTTTCCACTCTCAAATAAGCTGCAGGCGTACCTTGTGATGCGCGGGATGCACTTGTTGGTGATTGACGCACTTCACTTCCCTCTACAGGGGATCCCATTTTCTTTCTCAAAACATCCTCAATCGTTTTCTCCAGATGATCTCCAGGATACGTCAGCTGTCGCACTTGCTCTCTTACTTCCATTACCAACGCCACGTCCTCTGCCTTCATCGCACTTATCTCTCCAGGACTCAGTGTCGCCTCGCGCATGCAGAGCTCCATGAGCGCCGACATGGTCCACTCTTCGATATTGTATACTCGCGCGAGCGCGACGCGCGCTGCCGCAGTCGTGTACTCTGTCGAGCTGAGCTCGCGGATCGCGCGTTTGCGAGCGGATGTGATGGACCAGCGCGTAGCGAGCTTGAGCACAGCGGTCCACTGGCGCACGGTCGTTAGATCTCCCTTATCGAGATCGCTGTATGAACCGCAGTAGGTCAACTGGATTGTCGATGTCGAAGGGACGGAGATGCGAAGATGCACTCAGGATAAAACAACGACAGAAATGCATCGAATTCGACCGTTTCTACATCATACAAGATGATAATGGCCCTGTCGCGGGTGAGGAGGAGCGGGGCAGCATTCTTCGACGTCGAAATTGCTCGTTTATTCCAGTTGACGTAGAAGTGCGTGGCACGTTGGCCCCCGTAAGCCTCCCATCCAGGGAAGAGACGAGTATCGGGGACTCCATCATCTGCTGGCACGTCTAATAGGTCTTTAAACCATGGAAATGGCTCAAATGTACGGCGGTAGAGACGGTACAGGACGTCTTCGACCTGGCGCAATGAGTCTTTAACCTGTGGCACCATGCATAAACCGCCGCTCACGAGGAACTGGACGTCTCCTTCGGCCCAGTACCACTTCGGGTGTCTTTTTAGCCCAATGATCTCGTGCTCATGCCGCAGGCAGGCCGGAGAGAGCGTCGGGGAGAGCTCGGGGCGGTACGCGGTCATGGCGTGAAGCTGGATGTGGAGTGGGCTGAGCTCCGGGTTTGGCCCCTCGGATCCCGGCGCGAACATGTCCATGAATGGAGAGTTGTTAGGGTTCGTGGAAATGGAGATAAGAGTTGTCTATAGAAGGTAAGCTTGTGTCGAGCAGAGGGTAGTGGCGAGAGGCTAGGAGAGGGTGGGAAAGCCGATTGGCCGTGACTCGCGCGGGCTATTGTTCCTGTTGCGGGCCAAGTGTAGTTTGCCTATACTTATACGGGTGCACGAGCGCTGAAAAGGGAAGTCAAGGTGTGACAGATCCTACAACACGAGGACAAGGAAGCCTTTTCACGCGACTCCATTATGGGTACACAGCAACCAACCTCGATCCCAAGCTCGACAGGCAAAACGTAGTCCATATGAAGGTCGGGGCTCTTCAAGTTGGTCATACGGCAATGATGACACAAGGAATATCAGTGTCCCGACGAAACTTGTAGATTGACTTGTTGGATGCCGGAGCTCGACTCGTTCAAGCCTAGCGCTCGTCCCAGCGGGAGGCGGACATCGTCTTCCGGATGCTTGCAGGGTACTCCGGGACACTGAAGAGTACAGATATCAAGAATGAACGGGTCCGTATGCACACTAAGCCGCAGATTCTGGAGTCTGAATCTCGGACCGGGTCTGGACTAGTAGTGCAAAGATAAGTTGAGAAGCGAATAGTCGGACTTGAGATCACCTTCGTACCATATCCACACACTCTTCCCGAACAGACACCTGTGGTTGAATTAATCAGCCCCTAGTATCACTTGATCTTGAGGTAAGTTACTCGAAGAGCGACTGTGAGTAGATCTAGCTGTACTTTTAAGGTGCGTTGTAAGGCCTTTAGGCATCCGTGCAGATGTAGTGTAGTTACCGAGGATAAGCGGGAAAGTGTGCGAGGAGCTTTGATGTAGCTGGAAAGTAACGTCGGTGAGAATGCTTTAAGAAAGCGACCCGTCGAAATTTTCTCTGCTTTTGAGGTGCACGTACCTGACCTGCCCGGCTATGCGACAACTTTATCGGCAAATGAGATAGATACCCGCTATGAGGCTAGAATCGAGGTATCCTTCGGATGAACGGGATGCAAGCTCATGCATATGCTCGAGATAGCGTCACATCTCTTTCGCACACAGCGAGCGGAGATAGGGACTTGACAGTAACTTTGAGCCGCACGCGTCTAGCGGTATGCACCGAGGGCCTGTACCGCGCCCCTTCGATGACACGGACTAGAAGCGCACGAGGCCAGCCGGGTGGAGTGCCCGAGCTTGAAGACAAAGCGCACGCCAAGCCCTCGAAAGGGATGATGGTCAACGGACGATCACGACTTACGCGCACTACTGTAGGAGATGTTCACGAGTGGCTGTCATACAAGCTTCCATCCTTAGCGTCAATCTGGCCCGAGTGATCTTTCTCAGAGTGAGAACTCATGAGTGTGGGGTCATGCTGAGCGCTCAGTACGGCACCAAGTGAAGACTGATGGCCAGTCGTCGGGTCCGGACAGCATTTTAACGTTGCTTACGTGGAGGCGTTTCTGCGAACGTAGGTCTTGATGGCGCTTGGAGGTATACCGGTCCTTCCACGGCACCCCTTGCGAGGTTCTAGTGCAGTCCTCGCAGGCGAGCGTCAGGATGGGCTTCCGACCAAATGCATCGATGCACTTCCGCGCGGCTTCATCGGCTCCATTCAATGTGAGGTCTGAAATCCGAGTCGGAGCTTGGATACGAAGAGTAGGGATAAGGCGCAATATTCTGTTAAAGATTGGGCCGCTTGTTATCCTCGGCTATTGTCAAGAGAGTCGTCTGGAGGGATACCAGCAGAGATGCTCTGTAGCCTAGGCCAGTTGGATCGGATAGACTCGAAGCGGGAAATTTTCATCGTTGTGATGGTATTCCGGAAGCAAGTCCGGAAGACCCCGGACCGCTTCCCACAGGAAGCCCTCGGCGGCATATGGGCTTCCTGTGTCCCTTCGACAAACTCCACATCATGGACTTCACTCTATGCGACCTAGACTATCCAATGCTGCCTCCAGTTGGAATAAGGGGGGGTACCTACTCGGTTTATTACATGTTCCGCTTCTGCTTCCGCATCCATCGCCGCGGCAATACGACGGTCGTAAAACGGTCGCTAATACATGGTGCAGACAGGCGTGCAGCTGTGCCAATTCCACTTCCTGATTGACCGAAGACTCCGAAGTTGCCAGTGGCCGAACAGAGTGCCGTAACCACTTA